GACCTGAAGGAGCCGAAGGAGCAGGATCTGGCCGAGATGCGCCTGTGTGTCTGTGCCTGTTACCTTATCTCCTCTGTAAAGTGATATGTTAATGTTTGTCATACGCACACATGCGTGCCATATTAAATGTCGGCGCTTCCTTCAGCTGCAGTCATTTCTTTTGCCTCGTCTCATTTTCTGTTCTACCAAAAAACCAAAAAAAAAAAAACTATAAAAAACTTTAAATATTGAATGAGAACTTGTTTCTCTTGCCAATGAGAAATGTTTTATATGTTGTGAAAAACATAAAAAAACTGATTCCACCCCAAAACAAAAGATATGGAAAGTTTATTACTGTAGCTTTTTGAAATTTTCTTCATTTTTTTTTATTTTTACCAGTGTAGATAGAGGATTTTTATAATTGTCCCCAAAGTATTATTTTCAAAAATCAAAAAAATTATACGACGTTTTAGGTGTCGTTTTCTTGTAAAAACTTTTTAAAATTAAAAAAAAGTTTTAAAAATTGAAAGTAAAACAAAATTTGTATGAAGCGTTTTACTTTCTAAAATATTTGACCCCCGAACCTACAACTTTTGCTAAATTTCTCAGTTTAATATTTAATAAATATATATAAATAAAAAACCAAAAGTTTTTTATTAAAATTAGAAGAAAAGCAAACGCTTATTAACCGATATATCAGGCGATAGTATCGCATGTATGCGAAATGTATGTTTTCCCCAATTAATTCTCGGCATTAAACTTCATTTCACAAGGAAATGATTGAAGTAATAACAATAAATGCTCACCGTGGCGAGCAATTAAAACTTCATCGATGGAACAATGAGGGCTTTTATAATTACAATCGCTCACACATGCCGAGCGGATAAATTCGCTTTGTAATGACAAAAACATTGATAGCATCTCTCAACTGAAAGTGTCAAACGCTCGGCTATTTATTGGCCGATAAGGTAAATTGTGGTCATAAATGAGTGTACAACTTTTTGCACCGATATGACCAGATGATAACGATATTCGCACGCTGATGATTTCCATTTTCATAAAAAAGCCGTAATTCATTCCTTAATTTAACAACATAATGCCCTGCGTTATTTGTATTCATTCCTTCGAAGACCATTTTCCGGATCCAAGAGTTGGGGGTCTTGGGGTCCCGGGGTTTCGGGTTCCGAGGTGTTCATTAAAATTGAAAAATGCCACTTTAATGAATTTATTTGCGACACTTAACACAAGCACAAGTAAACAGAGAAAAATGATGTTCATTAACATAAAAATTTCGCTTCTTCCACTACAGTGGCCATTGTTATGGTCGCCCCAGCTCCAGATGCTCCGGCAATCATTGAAATACACTTAAGAAAATCGGTATTTGAATGTTTACAAAATTTAATTTTGGATTTCCAATTAAGTAGGGTTACCCGATTAAGAACACTTACAATTTTTAATGTGGTATATTGTTCCTTTTCATTTTACTTTTATTATTTGAAAAATTTGATTTTAAAATATATATATTTTTAACATAGAAATTATAATCAATTATATTATTTATTATATTTTAGAAAATGACTTACATTTAATTAATAAACTTACATGGAATTTTTTTTCATTTAAAATTTTTTGAAACAAAAAAACGGAATGTCTAATAATGACTAGATTAAATTTTTAGATTAAATTCATATTTTTCGAGAATGGAAATATATTGGAAAAATACTGCATTTTGCCGAGTGTCCTTGGAGCCCAGCTTGTAGTGCCTTTTGGTGACAGTTGGTGGGTTTGCGGGTTCGTCTTGGGGCTGGCAATTGTCATTACCGTTTCGACTATTGTCAAAGCTGTTAGCCTGCAATTGATGAGTCAATATGTCAACGACTGACAGGTCACGTTGCATCGCACCCTCGCCATTAACTCGCCCCCGCCCTTAACTTCACTTCGCTCCACTCCACTTTGCTCCCCCAAACAGTTTGGCATTAATTTTCAAATAGTTAACATTCACAGTTTCCAGAGGCAATTGCTTGTAAGGTAATTTAATTAATGCGACTTTCAATCAGCCAACCATTCTGGTGTAATCAGTGTCGTTGCGAGGAGGGCATTTATTTATTATTATTATTAACACATTTATGATTTATTTGGGTTTGGGTTTGGGGAAAATGAAGGCATTTTGGATTTGACAAGTGAAACTGTTCCACAAATGCTTTTATTGTAGATGTAAATGGATGAATGGACGATATACGAAGTCAATTGAAATCATTAAATTGTTTCACTAAAGCTACAAAGTATTACTAATTTTAAAAATAAATATAGTAACCATTGTTGTAGGTATCTTAGGTGAAAAATAAAGGAAATTGGGTGTAAAAAAAGAATGCAACCAAAAATTTCTTTTAAATCTTACCCACAACAAAAGGTTTTACTAATATGTTAGTAGGTATATTAAATTATTTTGTCGGTATTGCGGAGACGCCCTAAAAGAGGCTCAAAGTCCCCCTCACTTCTCGGTGGCCACTCAAGTTGGCTTAAGAGGCGGTAAAGTGTCCCTGAAGCTGTTGGCCCAAAGTCGGCTGGCCTGTAATCGAAACTGTAAACTGGTTGGCACTCGCATGTGTTTATAGGATGTCCAGGGGGGCAAAGGAGCCAAGGAGCCAAGGGCGAATTGCGGGAATTGGGGGTCAAGAGGTCAGGCTACTAGCAATTACATTTGACTTGTTGTTCCTGTGCCCCATTGCACTCAAAACAACTCGGGGGAAATATTTGTAATATTTCAATAAAATGTTTCTGAACTCCACTAATAGGGGAGAGTGGGGGAATTTCGTCAGCATTTTTTCAAAGCTATTTTTTGTCCATCTTGAGACACGTTATCATATTTCTATTTTTATTGTTGAATGCGGTTAGCACCAAGCTTTAAAATGTGACATTCCCCTATTTTTTTAATTAGCTTGGTGATTTATAAAAAAATAAAATGTAAAACCAATATACTGGGGCAATCTCACCACACAGGGGGGTAAAATCACCACACAACTGGGGAAATTTCGTCACCTGAAAAATGTAGGGAGTTTAACGCCTGAAAATATGCTACACTGATCAAGCGTACCATTTTTGTTGACGTCCTATATTTGTTGCTGCTGCTGGTAGTCTGTTCGTTAGCCAGCTCGTCAAATATAAAAATATGTATTTAAAATAGGTGCGAATTTACCCTTAGCGTAGGGTGGCGAAATTTCCCCAGACCGTACTTTTTTAGAAATAATTATTTTTCTTGCGAAAATAGGCGCGAAGTTAAAAATCACTGACGCAGAAATGCACATTATAGCACTGTGTATTATATAAAAAATCGTGTATCTTATTCCTTTTGAATTGTGGCATACAGAAAAAATTTCGTCGAGAACTAAATGTAGCTTTTGAACTGTTAAAACACATTTAATATTATAGCTTAATTATCTTGGCCTTCTGTGCAAAACAAATGCATTGGTTGTGTCTGGCCGTCTTGAAGGACTAAAACAAAAAAATTATATATTTTTACGACTTATGGATTCCGAGATATTGCAGGTGACGAAATTGCCCCTGTGACGAAATTCCCCCACTCTCCCCTATATTGCTAAGTTTAAATTATTTTTTTTAATTATTTAAAAATTGACTTATTTTGTAAAGTTAAGGGGTCTTTGGCACCAAAAAATCGACTAACTTTGCGATTTTTTCTATAAAAACTGGTTGGATTGATTTTAAAAAAATTTAAAAATGATAGGATTTTCATTTTGTTTTTACATTTCCCCTAAAAATTAAAAAACCCGCCCCTGGGAAGCCCTTTTTTAATATTTAAAACATGAGCTTATTCTAGCATATATTTATAATATTTAGGAGAATAAAAGAAATTAGACAAACATATTTTTATTAAAATATTTTTAAAATTACAGTTAATAATAAGGAACTTTTATTGGGTATATATTAGGAATATATTTTGTCACGTGTACTTGACTTCAGCTGCAATCGCTGCTGGGAAACGCCAGAGATCGGGATCCCCGTTGTCCAGGAGGGAACGGTGCCGGCTAATTCAATTGCTTGGGCGCTCAATGAACAGAACCAACAATCCGTTTGGCAAATTGCTTAATGCTTCAAGTCACGTGTTCGCCCGCTCGCCATATTGCCACCGCTTTCTGCGGTTAATTTGCCACATCGATGTCCGCCCACAGAGCCCAATGGTTTGCATGGCGCACACACCACCCGTCAACGTTCCTCGTTTCACATAGTAGCTGTTGGCCAGGATTTCCCCTTTGAGTCCGTGGTCAATAGAGGTATTGCACAGAAAAAAAAGATCAGAAGATCTGATTTATATGTGCTGGTCAATTTTATATTTTTTTAAAAATCAAGTTACTCACATAATTTTGATTAAGATTATTATTTAAAATTTTTTGTTAAAAAAATATTACATTTTGTATTTTATTTGATATGATAAAAATATTAAGTTGATTTGTTTAAATTAAAAATATGACACAAATCATATCAGCTTATTATTGATATATTGATAAGGTAGAATTCACCCTTTTTCATATCGTTTTTTTTTTCTGTGTGGAGCTATCGAGGCTTCCGAAGTGAATATTATTTTAAGCTAATTGGACATGTTTTCAAGGCATTTACCATAAATCACTATATAATAATAAAACAATTATTATGAACATTTAAAACAGGATTCATTAAACAGTATCGTCGGGCTCTACTGCCAGTCCTAACCAAAAAGGTTTAAGTAAAAACGTAACTTGATTTCCGAGTATTTAACCAGAATTACCGTATAATATTAAAACAATTATTATTAACATTTAAAAGAGGATTCATTTATTCAAAATCGTCGGGATCTAATGCGAATCCTAACCAAAAAGGTTTAAATAAAAACGTAAATTGGTAATATCATCAGATGGTACATGTTTTCTGGGCATTTAACAAAAATCGATATATAATATTTAAAGAATTATTATTAACACCTAAAACAGTATTCATTTATTCAGTATCGTCGGGCTCTCCTGCGAGTCCTAACCAAAAAGGTTTAGGTAAATGCGTAACTTGGTAATATCGTTGGTCATCAGATGGTACATGACGTTCCAGCGGAGCATCTGGTCCAGGGCCAAGCTGGAAATGGCACAGTAGACGCAAAGGGCGAAGACCAATGACTCCGGATGGCCACCATGCCACACATGGTAGATCGCCTTATAGAACAGCTCCATATTGGTGGCGAATTTGATGCAGCAGACCAGGATCCAGGGCAGCAACGGCAGGTAGCATCTCTTCTGCCGACGCCAGCGTTTCGGGATCAGCAGCGAGGGCAGCATGGCCAGGATGGTCAGCGCCAGGGACGCGAGGGCGGTGATCAGGACATTCGGGTAGCGGAACACTACGGACGGCGATCCCTTAGAGTAATTCAAGGGCACCTCCAGCGTGACACTCGGGGTCAAACTGACCGCCGTGAGAAGCGCCGTTCCGTAGAGCATCTGGCCCATGTTGCCGCGTTTAATTTGGATGACAATTAGCATAATAGCAAGGAACCAAATCATGATTGGTCAAATAAATCGCTATAATCAAAGTACGAAGCACGTAGCTCGTAGACGGAATTTAGATGTTATTCGTTTCGTATATACTCGCTGAATGGAGTTCTCTAGAAGTTGGTCTGCTTCAATATTTTTCAATTTAATAACGAAGCTTACTTTGTTTTTTTTGGGTTTACAAATGGATAAAAACGAGAACGGAAATGTGACTAGAAAAGCATACATCAGAAATAACTAAAAATTATCACCTATTTCCCCCTGTTGATCCTATGTGATAGTTATAAAAATTAAGATTTGGAAAGATTCATGTCTGTGGCTTTCACACTGCGCGAAATATCTTCACAAGCAGTTTTATTTTCCAAGTTTTATCCGATCGTTCTTATGGAAGCTATAGGATATATACATGAAACAGAAGGACAGGGACATGTATATCGACTCCCCTAGTGATCCTGATCAAGAATATACTTTATAGGGTCGGAAAGGTCTTAATAATATTATTAAATTAATAATTTAATAAAATTAATATATAATTCTATTATAAAATAAATAATAATATATATAATAATAATATTTTATATAATAATATATTAAAAAATATATATAATAATAGTGCGATTGGAACAATTTATGGCATGTAAATAGGTATTGATCAGTAGAATCAATTTTAATTTACACTGAAACAAAATGTTCATAACTGTGAGAAAGTCTCACTAAAATTACAATGGAGTATTTATGGAGAAGTTTAATATCTTTCTAATACCATTCTCAGGACCGATTTACTCACCCTGTAAAACTATTTGAACACCGCGGTTGTTGAGTATGGACACCGTATGGACATCACCTCGTTGTTGATCCCTGGCCAACTCTTTGTTCTCGGTCGCCACCCATCCATCGAGTGGTTTTCCTTTTCACATCTCCGTTCCTCCACATCTTGTTAATTAGTTCTTATTCAATAAATTATAAAATATCCATTTATTGTTTTGTTATGTTTTGCGAAGCGTTTATCGATAACATCGATGGCTTGAACCATCGATGGTTTCACAACTATTGCGATAGTCACCAAAAATGTATGGGCTGTTCAGACAACCGTTTTTGGTATTTTTTGAAGCCGAAATTCATTAAAAATATTTTTCTTATTCCTCTTTATTTATACGAATTAAATTTCAAATTTATTATTAATATTTAAAATTGAAATATACAAATAAAATTACCTTTTAGACTAGTGGTATTTAAATGGTATTTCTTGAGGCGGAAATGGTATTTTTGATTGTGCCGGGTGGTATTTTTGATCCGCCCTTGCCGCGAACAAACTAAAATTTCAAATCGTTTCGATTCAATATTTTTTTTAGTTTTGAATAATAAAATAATAATAAAGATGGACCAACAAAATGCGGTTTTACGTATAATAAAACATTTTTCATATCCTATTTATTGTAATCAAACCATTGAAATTATTTTTAATTTATCAAATTGCAGTTTTAATTAAAAAACCTTTATTCTTTGTAGGGAATTTCGAGAAGTATGCCAAAAATGTCCCGTCTTTCAAATGTCATATATACCTTAGCCTGCAGGATAATAACATAAATTTCAAAATCTTTTTCAGTTGACAAAAAAGAATTGGTAAACTAAAAACTATACCATAAAGCATCTGGCGAATTAAAGCATTTATTAATATTATACTATTAGGAATTCTATAGTAGAATTTCCATTGCATATTCCTATATGTAGTCAAAGTCCACGCAGTCGAGGATCACCTCGCGCATGCGCTGTTTGAAGGTTGCCTCGTTGCCCGCGCCCAGGAATCCGGCGCCCTGGAGATCCGTGGTGGCTCCGGCCTCGATCCGCTCGCTAATCGCCTGGAGGTCGGGCACATCCTGGCCCTGCATGGTCACAATGGGCAGAACCATCATGGCGAGGAGCAGGCCCACAGGAGCCTTGGTGGCCACCTGTTCGTCGAATGCGCTTCGGGGAAGAAGTTGATCCAACTGCTCGCCCAATCTGTTATAAAACAAAAATAAAGATTCGAATTAATACTAATACTAAATGCTAAATGCTAATACTAAATGAATACTGATTTAATACTAAATATTATACATTCAATATTTTGTAGGTTTAGGCGTGTATTTTTAACGATGCCATTTATGCCAGCATTTTTGCATTTTTTCTCACTTTTACAACTTTGACGAAGTGTAGCTTCTAAACTAATGAATGGAACTCAATGCAGTGTATAAGAAAGTTGGAGAGCATTCTATTACCTGTAAAATTAGTTATTTATGGTTGAAATCGGTTAGCCACAACTCAAGTTAGAAATTGAAAAAAGGTCAAAAACGTTTGTTACACTTAAAAAAAAAATGTATCCATAAAAAAAATTTTAAGTGCCATTTTCTGAATCAGGAAGACGTACCTTACCGGAAAACAAAGGTTTCATTCATGGTATATTTCATCGATTTTTTTTGTAAACTCTACTAAGGGAAAAAAATATTTTTTTTTGTTTTTTATTAAGCTAATAGACTAACCTTTCGATCAGTACCAAATGCGTAAAGTTTCATAAGTGAATGTCAAAATGAGATTAAAAACAAGAAAGGAAGCTACCTTCGGCCAGCCGAAGCTTATATACCCTTGTAGATAAAAGAATGCTCACTCGGTGCAGTTCCAGGGATTCCAGATTCAGCGTTTCTATTTATTTAAATTTTGTTTTTAAGTAGTCAAGAATCAAAACGCCTACTTCCTACAAAGTTACAATGAATTTTCTTATATTTGTTTGAATATTCCTATGGGAGCCTTAAGATATAGTGGTCCGATCCGGCTCTCTCCGACATATGTACTACCTGCAATAGAAAGAAGACTTTCGGGAAAGTTTCACCGCGATAGCTTTAAAACTGAGAGACTAGTTCGCATAGAAACGGACAGACGGACAGACGGACATGGCTAGATAGACTCGGCTATTGGTGCTGATCAAGAATATATATACTTTATGTGGTCGGAAACGTCTTCTTCACTGCGTTGCAAACATCTGACTAAAATTATAATACGCTCTACAAGGGTATAACAAAAGGTGTACCAACCTACAGACCTCTCCCCTTCCAAAAGTTGAACTTTAATAGTTTCGATAGCAATGATTTAATTTTTTAAAACTCAATAAGTAGTTTGTACGAATAGTTCAGTTCTAAGATCTCAGATTTAATTTCTCTTACCTGTTTAGGATATAATAAGAATAATTGGATATTTTTGAAACTCAATAGATTCGAATAAATACAGAATTAATACTGATTTAATACTACCTAATACTAATTTAATACTTAATATTATAAAGTTTATATTTTGTAGGTTTAGTTTATACCAAAGGCAATAAAAAACTCTTTATAAGAAATTTTTGAATCTCAATAGTTCAGATCTCATACCTTTTTAGCTGCACGCCCAGCTCCTCGTAGTAATCCTCTAGTATATTTTTGAGGTGCCGCTGGCGGAAGTCGCGCGAGGTGCAGGTGAAGAGGAAGTAGGCCAAATCGGTGACCGGGGAGGCGTATCGCATCAGTTGCCAGTCGATCAGGCGAACGTCCTCCAGAACTCCGCCCTCTGAGCTTTTGTACAGGATATTATTGTTCCAGCAATCGCCGTGGCAGATGACGGCGAAGGGTTCGCAATTGGAGCCGCCGACCAGGGGCAGCAGCAGCTCGAAGTACGATCCCCGCGAGAAGTACGACTCCAGGCGCCTCCGGTAGCGATCATCCGCCGGCGTGGAGAGCAGCGCGGAGAGGGCACTGCCCTTGAGATTCTCGAAGTAGACACCCAACGCATGATCCTCGCGCCGCTGCTCAAAGATGTCCACCAGCAGCTGGAGCTTGTGCATCCGGTCGGGAAACTGACGCTTCGCAGCCAGCGATATGGCATGTAGCTTGGCATAGGTGCGGATCACCTGACGCACCTGCTCCAGGGACAAGTCATGGAAGCGATTGTGCAGCGAGAAGCCCGAGCAGGCGAGATCCTCCAGGACGATGCATTCGTTCGGCTCGTCCTGCCGCGTGCCCAGACAAAGGGCGTGCTGCCGGAAGCGATCCTCGGCGGGAATGCTCCACTTCTCCTGAATCATCTCGGCCAGCGGCAGGAACTCCTCGTAGGCCGCCGTCTCCCGCAGAAAGCAGGGACGTGCGAAGAATTGCTTGCGCCGCACGCGATTCTGCGGCGGAAGCTTCACCACCAGGCTGCGCTGCGAGTCGCCGGGAGCCACCTGCATCCGCCAGACGACGCCCAGGTAGTTGTCACCCTTGGCACTGGCCCTCTGCAAACGGAGCTCCGGAAGGGCGCCCACTTCGGGCCACTCTCGGCTGACCAGTTGGCGGAGGAACTGGGTCACCTGTTCGTTGGGCAGATCCTCTTCGGGCTTCGACTCCTGATTCTCCTGATTCTGCTGCGGTGTCAAGTGATCCTCTTGATTCTCCACACTTTCAGGAGTATCGGTGAGCCGCTCCTTGTTCTCGCAGATTTCCGTAAGCTCTTCTTCCCTTTTCACAGACTCTTCCGGTTTACCTTTTAATTCTTCTTCTGAATGCTGATCTCCGGGAGTATCTTCTTCGAGCTCTTCTCTTTCTTTAAGCTCCTCTTTTTCCAAGACTTCTTCCTCCACAGGTTCCTCGTCCAGGATTTCTTGATTTTTCGCTAAAATACTTTCCCGTTGAGATTCTTCTCCGCTCAATTCTTCCTGTACCGCAGGATTCTCCTCATTCTCATTCTCATTCTCCGGACTATTCTTCTGCGGTCGTTCTTCATCGCCTTGTCGTTCAAGATCACCATGCAGAATATTTTCTATATATTCTTGCAGGTCCTTCTCTTGGTCGGTTTCCTCTTGAGTAAGTTGCTCCTTCTCTGGATCCTCCTCAGCCTCCAGCTGGTTCTCGCCGGGCTGCTCCATTGCACACACTACGCCATCCGCCCCGAGTGAGACCCGTTTATATAGAGAACTAAAACCTAACTAAGCCCAACCGCAACGACCGCAAGTCGAATGATGCAGTTGCTCAGGTTTCAGTCTTCCATCTTGCTCTGATTTCAGCAATCTTCCGCAGCCGCTTCGGATTGGGATTGGGATTGTTCAGCCGCTTCTCAGAACAATCCCAATCCGAAATTCCGAAATCCGGCAAAGAAAGGCTGCGTCAAGGAACTGCAGAAGATTCCCGGAATCAGCCTTTAAATCAGTTCCATTCAATAAGTCAATAAACAGGTCTTAAGATTCCGAATTCGAACAGTTTTACCAGCACTAAACGATTTTAAAAATTTCAATATTTCGGAAAAGTAAAAATGCAGTTTTATTGTGTTTATCGAAATGTAGAAGAAATTTTTCAAATCGGACCATTCGTTTGAAAGTTATGCGTGATCAAAGTTTTCTATCTCCATCTCCCTCGCACTCCCTTTACCTGAGTAACGGGTATCTGATAGTCGGGGCACCCGACTATAGCGTTCTCTCTTGTTTTTGTTAACTATTAATTATAATTAATTTAATTTAACTATCCCAAACTGTCTTCGTATCTTTGGTATACATTTTAGTCATAGGTTTCACGTATCGAACAGCTGATCATTCGGCTGAGTTCTCTGTAAAGTGAAGTGCACTTCGCACTCGAGAGCCCCTATCTTCGGGTCTTCGTGCGATCTGTTGTGCCACCTTGCACGGCCACTTGTGACAGCGAATGCATCTTGGAGATACAGATACTTCGGTTTTATCAGCTCTGCAGTCAAACAAAAACAATTCGCTGACCGACATATGTACATAGGAGGGTCTGGTTCTGGTTCTTGTTGCTATATCTGTTATTGGCTCCGTTTCGGTAAACAAGATAGCATAACACATCGGGAGATACGGAAAGTGGAGAGTGGGGAGGTGGGAGAGTCGCCCGCAGGAATCTTCTAAATACTTATAAATACTAAGCATTTTCTGATTGGAAATCGCTGCCAGATAACGCCCGAATATATCTGAGCTAGTCCAGTACAAAGGCAAAAGGCGAAAGACGAAGACCAAAGCAAAAGAAACCAACAAAACAAAAACAAGAAAAGACGCAGCAGCAGCAACAAAACGCTGAAAGCAAAACAAACAGCGATAAAGCTGAGGTATAAGGCACACTTCAAACACCCTTACCAAGATAGATAGTTTTAGAAACCACCTTTAAGTTCCAAGTATATCTGTAGTTTATGCATACAAACACATAGAAAAAAAAGACCAAAAATAATCATCCATTGGGTATTTTTTCATATCAATTTTGGTCCCATCTGTTCTTCCGAACATATGATTTTGTACCATATTGATATGAAAACATAGCATTTTGTTATGGAAAAATTGATATGAAACAATATCAGTTCCATATTGTTCCGTTTTTTTCTCTGTGTACATACATTTAATTACATTAAGGTTACAGTGCTCTAGAAGGGTTCCGTGAATTTTAACTTCTGCATTTATGTGACTTTCCGAACCATTTTTGGGATACAAGCTGGAATCACTGTGCTGAGTGCTGCTAGTGATTTTCAACGCAATCCGAGTCCTAACACCCGAGTTACCATAGGTCGTTTCGGTTGTTCAGCGATCATTTCGCCGGGGGCCACACCCTCTTTTGAGTGAGCCGTGCAGTCGCCGTGTCCCGAACGCAGCGCAAGAGTAAAAGCAGCGCCAGCAGAGGCGTCGCTGGGGGAGGGGGAGGGGGAGGGGGCCCGACCATATGCAATGTATGGGCAAGAAGCCGGTCTTTTTGTCTCTGTTTTTGTTTTTGTGTTCGCCTTTTTTTGTCGTTAGCATCTTGTTGTGATCGCTCCGCCGCCTCGCTGCCGACGTGCTGGCTTGTTTTTTGCGGCGCATTTAATGAATGCGCCCCAAAACCCCCACACCCCACACCCCCCACTCATCTATCCCATCCCCACTGCGCAGTCGACGTCGCCGTTGGCCGTTGCGTTTAAAATGCCGCAGCGACGGCGCTGCGAGCTCAGTCTAGCAGCAAAAGTCCAGCAGTCCGGTTCCAAAGTAGCGAGCGATCACAGTTTCGAGTCTGGGAATTCCGAATTTCGAATTTCGATTGTATTGGAAATAAAAAGAAGAAGCAGTAGTTCGAAGTTGGAAATTTTTGAAGAGCAACGAAAAGCCTAGTCAGCGCCCCTAAGATGTCGCAGCCACTCAAGTTCTACTTTGATTTCCTCAACCAATCGAGCCGGGCCCTCTACATCCTTTTGGAGGCATCCAAAATCCCCTTCGAGGCCATTCCCATTTCGATGCTCAAAGGTGAGTGGTGTGGTGGGTAGTGAGTACGTGCCCGGTGGCACACCACACACAACTAAGCAAATAGAGATATATAGGCCTAGGGCCCTGGGCCCAAAGGTCGCATTCGGATCGTCACACATTCCTATGCATTTATGCTGCCCTTTGTTCGCCCTCTTCGTTTTCCAAATAAATTTTCCGCTCGTTAAAAATTCCACAATACAACCGAAAAGTTTCCAAGGCGAAAGTGGGCAATCACTTCAAAATAATGTCACTTAATCTCGAAAACAATTGAAATATGGAAATATGGAACTCAGATTATAATAATTATTGGTTTAATCAGTTTAACGCAAACGTGATCGATCTGGGAATTTAGTTACCACAACTCAAACGTGAGGTTTCCTTTAAAAAATACAAATAGAAACCTTTTTTTTTGGATTGATTAGTGCACTTTGAACGTGTTTGTGTTTACTGTTAATCTTAACCCACTGGGGGCATCCTAAAAACCTAAAAGCCAAAACCTAATCGCTTTCGAATCACGCTTTTATCGCCTGGCAGCGAAAACAAACAGTCGAAACTCAATATAAATGGCTGGGCTTAGAATTCTATTATTATTTTTTATATATTTGACTTTTGCATCCAATTAAGTGTGAAGCCTTGAATAGGGTTGCATGTGAAAGTTATCGACAATACAATCAGTTTCGATTGTTAGTTTTTGTTAAGTGAGTCCGACTGTACCTGTACTGTGCTGTTGAGTGTTGAGTGCACTTTGATCGTGTTTACTCTTCTATAAACCGATCTTTGCGCTGGTTTTATCACCTGCTAGCCAAACTGGGACACTTATCAATTTCTTTGTTCAGATCTACTGATTTGTGTTTGCTATTTGCTAGTTTGTTTTTACTCTTTACTCTTCTATCTTTTCATGTTTTTTTGAGTGTGTGTTTTGTTGTTGTTGTTTTCTCAGCTTGTTTGTTGAGCTGCGCGTGCGCTTAGCACTTTTTCAAAAGACCAAAGACCCGTCCCTCTTCGTTTTCGTTTTCCACTTGGTCAAGGTTGCGGAAACGCCATAAAGTGCAGAATTGATGCGAGGATGCAATCAGAGACAGAGCCCCATTAACAGCTGCATATATAATCACGATATATGGTTAATATCTCGGGTAAATTAATATCCGGGATACCAACTACCAACTCTGTGTGTTATGCTAATCCCAAGGAGAGCTTTCCACTCCTCTATACTAAACTAAACTAAACTGCATATATGTCGGATTCCCAGACAGGCCAGCCACTTGGACTTTGGACTCCGCGTCGAGCAGTTTGGTTAGCTTAGCTTAGAAATCAGAGTCGCCGCTGCATTCGTGTGGAGACAACAACAAGACAACCTTGTGGAGGTTAAAGACTCCGATTCCGATGCGGGGGCAAGCACTTTCAGTGGTAGTTGTGTATAGTAGCTATACGATAGACACCCGGTTTTTCATGCCGCCCGAGCATGACGCAAGGAATCTAATCTGGTCGAGAGTTTACGAGCCGACTGCAATTCGGATCAAGTGGAAATCGAATTGACATCATAAAAATTGATATTTTCTAACCCAATTTCGGTATGCCCAACTGATAGTTATCTACGAGTGGCCCTAGCGATTTGCGAAGTAATCCATGGCTTGTTAGCTGAGTTACCAGAGGTCATATTGACATTTATAGGTATTTTTAACCCTGGATTAGCATGCAGTTTTCAGTTTTAGACCTTTCTAAAAGTGTTTGTACCTATTTCCAACGCAATGTATGGCCTATGCACTGAGTTCTTAGAGATCAGAGCAGGTTGGACGGGTTTGTTTGACTGGGCCAGCGCAACGGTAATTAAGAGAAAATATCAGGAACTTGGAAAATTGGAGTTTTCGGAACTCACGAATATTAGTATTTTATAACCGGTTTTTTGGGTTTTTTAGGTGCGCTACCTTATAAGATTGCGGATAATTAGTCCCCATACAATGCACTTGAGATAATCATCCTCCCGTGCTTCCGGTCAGCTACTTCACATCTTGATAAGCCAGCCAGTCACGAATCTCTCACGAATTGCCCTTTGGCTCGGATGATCTCGACCATCATAGTCGGCTTTAATTTTTCCATTTCCAAATGGCTGCAATTATAAAATTGAAAAATTGAAATTGCCCCTGCCATTCCATTTCGAATCTAATCAGCTGATTGTCGGGAATCACAGTCGACTACTGCCGACTGACTAATCAATTAGGTTTCCATTAAATTGCTCAGTTAATTTCTTTGTTTATTCGCACCACCCAAATCATGATGGGATGGCGTGGAGTGGGTGTGGATGTGGATGTGGGCTTTGGGTTTCGGCACTTAATTTGTTTGCGCACCCATCCAGATTCCGACTCACAGCGGGTATTTTTAGAGCCCGGAGGCCAGGCAAGTGCTGCACGATTTCTCAACCAAACCCCTTTTTTATATGTAACTTCCCCCCGGTGACCTTGATGGACAAACCTGCGACATTGACAATGACTTTGCCTTTCGCTGCCCAGACACGCCCCCCTTTTGAGGGCAATATTTCTTCCATTCGCTTCTTATCGTTATCGCTTCCAAAATTTGTCACCTGTTGCCGAGTTAGAATATCTCGTTGGGATCAGGCGATCGCCTCGATCAAAACAACAGAACAGGGGAAAAACTACAGTGAATTAAAAGACTCTAAACATTTTTGGGAAATTTTCCATTTCAGTTATAAAATTATGAAAGAAAAATCTGTTTTCGTTTTGAAAAATTTCCTATAAAAAATATAATAATCACAGTTATAATGTTTGAAAGAGTTTCGATTTTTGAAAGAGTCAAATTTTTGAAAAATCTCCCATAAAAAAATATAGAAGTCAGAGTTATAATGTTTGAAAGAGTTTCGATTTTTGAAAGAGTCAAATTTTTGAAAAATTGTCTTTAAAAAAATATAGAAATCACAGTTTTAATGTTTGAAAAAGTTTTGATTTTTGAAAGAGTCAACATTTTGAACATTTTCCTATAAAAAAATAAACAAAACACACTTATAATGTTTGAAAGAGTTTCGATTTTTGAAAGAGTCAAACTTTTGAAAAAGTTTCTTTAAAAAAATATAAAAATCACAGTTGTAAATAGTTTAAATTTTCAAAAGAGTGAAAATTTTGAAAAATTTTCCATAAAAAAATTTAGAAATTACATTGATAAATCTTTTCTTAAAATATCTTTTTCAAAATGGTAATATATCCCCTAATTTTATGTGCTTTAAATGGACAATACCTGTTTTTGATGTGAATGTGAATAAATTAAAGTAGGAAATATTTTAATTTGCGGCAGTAATCTCACTTATCTCACTTTCTGTTCTGTTCCAGGCGAGCACTTGACCGGTGAGTTCCGGGACAATGTGAACCGGTTCCGCAAGCTGCCCGCGATCACGGATCATGGCTATCAGCTGTCCGAGAACGTGGCCATCTTCCGGCATTTGGCTCGCGAGAAGCTGGTGCCGGAGCACTGGTATCCACGTCGCCATCTCGGCCGCAGCCGGATCGATGAGTATTTGGCCTGGCAGCAGACCAACATGGGTGTCGCCACCACCGAGTATTTCCAGCAAAAGTGGCTGGTGCCCTATCTGCAGAAGACCCGGCCGGCCGATAATGCGGTATGTTAAATTGTAGTTTGAAAGTTATCGATATTTTCGATTTTTTCACAATATTGATTCGAAAAGATCAATATTTTCAAGGGAAACCGCATATTAAATATCAAGAAATAGCAAACTATCGATATTTTTCAAACTCTAATCCCAATCCCAAACTAATCTCTCTTTTTTGTCTGGATATTGCAGGTGAATCTCGCCAGCAAGCAGCTGGAGCACACGCTCAACGAGTTCGAGCAGCTATTCCTCAACTCCCGCAAATTCATGCTCGGCGACAACATCTCGTTCGCAGACCTCAGCGCCATCTGCGAGATCGATCAGCCCAGTGAGTATTGCAAAATATCGAAATTATCGATAATTTCGATATTTTTAAAATATCTATGTTTTGAAAAAATCAATGTAATCAAGTTAATTTAGTGAAAATATCGGATATATCGTTACTTTTCAAGCTCCAGCAAAAAAAAAATATTGTTCTTAATGAATTTCTTCCTCTCCTTAAGAATCCATCGGTTACAATACGTTCCAGAACCGCAACAAGTTGGCCCGCTGGTACGAGACGGTCCGCGAGGAGCTGGGCCCCCACTACAAGGAGGTGCTCGGGGAGTTCGAGACCAAGCTGAAGGGCAGTGGCAGTGGGCAGCAGCAGGGCGTGGCCCAGGCGGTGAAGCAATAGCCGAGGAGTTAGGAACCTCGGACCGTCCACAAATCTTGTTTAGTTCCCTAAGGCAATCGACTATTTAACCGACTATTAACTTTTTTTTTTTACTTTTGTGATTATATATGCTCCTCCTATCCGTTAAGTTTCAACCTTCCCTAACACATTATTTTCTTTTATTCGATCCCAGAATTGCTCATTTGTGTAACTCTGTATCGTACCTACGAAATCAAAAACAAAAACCTTATATATATAAAATTAGTACTTAGTTGTTAATTATGTATCTTAATTATACGTATATAAAGAACGCTTATGATTGTTAAACCCTGTTTTATAAAAAACATCCCTATTTTTGGCTACACATGTACATTTACGCTTTATTCGGCTCGATTAACATTTTTTTTTTTGGATTGTGGGGTATTCGCTCTGGGAGCGGTGCTCGCGTGTGCTAGGGACTCTAGGTATATTCTAGGGATTCTAGTCTGCACAGCGACTGCATATGTGAGGTGTACAAAATAGGATCTGCCTTGTCATATCATATCACAATTAAAATTTGTATACACAGAGATTGAGAAATGCTTGCTGTGCCTGTCCTGTTCCTGTTCTATTCCTGTTATTCCTGTGCTCACTTCATCATCGGATCGGGGAAAGCATCGCGGGGCGGCTTGAAGCTCAGCATCATGATGTGTCGCGCATACGACTTGGTGGCCCGGAAAAGGGAATCGGTGCCGTGGAGGCGATCTAGAACGCCCAGCACACCGAAACAGTTGTTGAATCTGAATGAGGTAACATTGGATTAGTATAAAGTAGAGCTTGAAAGAATGTTCTCGATATTTAAAGGTTTTCCCTTGAAAGCATCGATATTATCGTATCGATATTGTAAAAATATCGAAAATATCGATAATGTTCAAGCTCTAGTATAAAGACTATAAACAGTTTAAAGATTAAAATAAAGTAAAGCTTGAAACAATATCGACAGTTTGCTATTTCTCGATATTTAAAAGAAGTTTTCCCATGAAAGCATCAAAATTATCGTATCGATATTGTAAAAATACCGAAAATTTTCAAGCTCTAGTATAAAGATTATAAACAGTTTAAAGATTAGTATAAAGAAGAGCTTGAAACAATATCGACAGTTTGCTATTTCTCGATGTTTAAAAGAAGTTTTCCCTTGAAGGCATCGATATTATCGTATCTAAATATCGAAAACATCGATACTTTTCAAGCTCTATTATAAAGATTATAATCAGTTTTTTAAGGGATTCATTTTCACTTTCAAATAACTTCTTCTCGAGATCATGAAAGTGAAAAAAGAAAGTGAAATTACTTGAGGTGGTGAAAGTCGTGGGCCTCGGGACTGGGAAAGAACGGCAAATGGTAGCCGGAGTGGGCGTTGAGAGTCGACAGGATGGCCAGGGCGAACCACAGCCACGCGGTGGCCACATGGCTGCCCATAAGAAAGACGCCCAGGAAGGGCGGCAGGAGGTTGCTGAAGATGTGCTCGATCGGATGGCAATAGATGGCCGTCACCGAGATGGGGGCCGTCCACTCGTGATGCTGCTTGTGTATGTACTTGTAGATGTGCTTGTGGTGCAGCAGGCGATGCGAGTAGTAGAAGCCCAGCTCCTCCATCAGGATGCAGACGGTCAGCTCGAAGCAGACCCAGTGGAATGTGGGCAGGTCGCGGATGTCGCTCAGGCCGCGAATCTCCATTAGCCGGTAGCTGGCATAGGCCAAAGGTATGCCCACCAGTATTTGGTTGCACACCACGCACCAGATCACCTTAAATTGGGTATCAGACAGACATGGCTATCAGACAGACAAGGGGTCAATTGATTTCGATTTTCGAACCTTAAGCAGGCGACGCAATTCCACGGGCTCATTGGTGCCCGGCTGGATCTTGTATTTGCGCAGACAGGCGGGCCGGTTGGTCAGGTCCATGAAGGTGTACAGTGTGCCCACGGTCCAGTAAACGATCATCGTGAAAATAGTGGTGCCAAAGACCCACAGCACCATGGGCTCGTCACCTGAAAGATGTACATATTTATATTAATATAAATACATTAGTAGTAATATACATATTTATATTAGTTGGTACTAACTACACACAAAAATTCGATATGGCCATGAAATACTCTTTTCGACCAGGTCAAATTTACCTGGCCTCATATCAAATTGAAATTTATCTTAAATAATGTAAAATCGATCTGCGTTTCATATCGATTTTTTTCGGTGTACTATCTATGGTGTCTGAAACATGGCATCTCCATTATTAATTACATATACCAGTATGTATACTAGCTACATATATTTATAGGGTCTGAAATATGGGGGTTCCAACTTTAATTTTAGATTTTTTTTGAAAATTATTTTTAAAATTCCCAATTACTTTAAAACTAATAATTATGCGTACATAAAACACCGTACGGTAAATCAATTACAAATTATAAAAAAATGCAAGTAACTACATATTTTTCGTATATTAAGAAAGAACTTTTAACCGGCACTACGAATAGGCTATAAAAATAAACTGAGGTAAATAAACCCATAAAGATAAAAGGCCTTAAGTAAAAGCTTCTTAAATGCAATAAAGAGTGTGAATTTTAAATTGTAAAAGATACACGGAAGATACAATAAAATGGGCCTATGAACTCGGGTTTTCAGCATCAGACTTTGAGGGTAGGCAAGATATTAGTGAACCGAAGTTCATTGCGATGAACCCAGAACCCAGAACATTGAGCCCATTGAGCAATGCTTAAATATTTGCACTGGCCAAATAAAGCAAAGATATTATTTAACAAATAGCTACTCCAGATCGGGAGCTGCATATTGCACATGCGTGTTTTTATGAAGAATTTAAATTCGTATGAGTAACGCGGCGATTCATTTTGTATCTGTATCTTTTGCATGCGTCTCTTTGTATCTTTGTGTCTGTGCGTTGGAATTAGTAAACAAAACAGTTGATGTTGACATTTCGTTGTCGCCAGTGGCTGAGAATTGCAATTTGCACAATATCACATAATCACAAAGAGAGGAGCAAAGTTTAGTTTGGCATAGCATATAGCCTATAGCCTATAGACCCTTAATTACCTGTGCATTTATCCATTATTTTCGTTTTTACTTACCAAACGAGTCGATGAATTTGTCCCACTGCGACTGCCAGAAGTCCCCGGAGGCGCCCCAAAAGCTCTGCAGATGCCTGGCGTAGATATAAGAAACCTCGATGAATTTATCCTCCATGGCCGACACTCTCCCTGTTCTGATTCTGTTTCTGTTTCTGATTCTACTACAATTGGCTTTTGCTTTCTCCCGATTCGGATTCGGATTCGGATTCTTCTGCGCTCTCTTCTCTCGCTTTCTCTGCGCTTCTAGTCTTCCCTGCTGAGCTTTGCAAAAGCAACTGGCGATATTTCGATCGCCGGATCGTGTGGAAAAGCGCAGCTCTCAAAATCAAAGCTCAGCTTTATTCCAGACTCTCTCCCACAATGAGGAAGAGGAAGAGAGAGAGAGCGTGAGGAAGGAGTATTCTTACGGGTTGCAAGCTTGGAATACCCTACCAGGTAATTTCTCACCCAAAAACTTATGCTTAATCTATTCAATTTTAATCTGCATTGGCATGATATCCTAAAAACAATTCTATTTTTTGGAAAACAGTTCGGTCGTAAATACCTCGAAAATAACAATGAAAGTATTCCTTAAAATAGCTGTATAGCTGTAAAAATTATCCAATTTACCAATAATATTATATGGGCAATTCTCTGGAGATGTCAACCAAGCCAAAAAGCGTAAAACTTGAAAAAAAAACCTATTTCTATATGATTTGGCACTGATATTTAAATCTAGTTAGATGGATCCTCAACTTAGCTAAGTAATTTGAGTATCCTTGGATAATTTTCCAGGACAATACCTGTTATATGGACAAAAGTCATTTTTTCGGTATTTTTTAAGGTTAAAAAATAAAGTTCTTAAATTAAAATGGAGAAACCAATAATAGTTGTTATAATCCGAAAAAAATGTTAATTTATGAAATAGAATACAAGCTATTACTTTTTTTGTTGTGTAGATGGGTCACCAGTATTGCATACAAAAATGCTAAAAACCACGAAAGTCTCTTAGAATGTGGGATAAGTAGGAGCTTTGAAGAGGGGCATTTTAGTTTTAATTGAAATTGACCTAAATTAATATAAAAAATGATGGGAAACAAGTTCGAGATAATTACCAATAGGTTCTTAAACTTTTTAGTATTTTTTTTCCAACTTACTCTTAAATTAAATTTAAGTTTTTTTCAAGTTAAAAGCTTAAGATTTTTAAGGGTACCTAAAAAAAAAAAGTTTCACAACCTACAAACCTCATCCCTGCTATATAAGTTGCATTAACAAAACTTTTCAATGAGGGCTGACTCCCCCGGAATCCGGATATTTACCAGGTGAGCACGTTGCGGAACAGAATGAAGGCGGCCAGGGCGCAGGTGATGATGAAGATGACGCTGTGCAGCGAGGACAGCCAGACGTCGGCGGTGCGGGTGTCGTCCCAGTTTTGCAGCGGCGAACAGGAGGACGAGACCTGATCCTTGGCCTGCTGCAGAGGAGGGTTTCAATATGGCGGAAAGATGGAAGGATATCGATATCGGGCTTACATCATTGAGATTGAGGTAGACCGGCGGCAGTCCCATCTTGTCCTTGACGTTTCCGCCGCCCACTGAGGAGGGGGAGCAGGAGGACGAGGACGAGGACGAGGAGCTGAGGTGTCCAGCATTCCCAGGCTGCACGGTCACCGAAATTGGCGAGGAGGCGCAGGAGGACGATGACGTGGACGAGGAGACCGAACTAGAACTATTCGGCGGTCTTCCGTGCAAGGGATTCGACATGTTTGAGCCTGCTTGCAAGTATTTGCCCTCTTTTTCCTCAAAACTTTCTCTTTCTCTCTCTCGCTGCAGTTTTCCCTTTTGTTGAGGCTTTTCCGTTGTCCTTGACATTTAACGCATTTCGATTTTTCTACTTCCCAGCTTCAAATCGATTGCCTTTGTACTATATATAATTTCAATAAATAATTAGCACTTGTTGTTAACTCTGCGTATATTTCATTTTAAAATCCACGACAATGGCTTTTAAAAATTGGCGAAAGTAACCGAATTTGACCACTGAAATTAGCTGGTACTAGAGGTGGAAAAATATCGTTTGTTCGATATTTTACTCCTATGTTTCCCCTAACATCGCACATCTCTAGCGAATGAAAAAGAAGCGTTGCCATCCTAATTTCATAGGCGCAACCGGGCTGCCAGACTGGTGGCACTGGGAACAGATTCTCCTTATTATAACCTGATTCCACTGTTACATTTGTTCAGATCTGGAAAATAATATTCTATTATTATATAATATAATATAAGGTGAAATCAAATAGCTTATAGCAAGGCCTTGAAATACATGGATCTTGAAAATACAGCCCTTGCTGAGTTTTCTGTCATTCTGTTCCATATTATTATTCCAAAATGTCTGACGAAGTAGAAAAACTTAAGGCGGAGCTAATAAAACTAAAAAAGAAAAATGAAGTTTACCGCGAATACGCTTTCAAAAATGCGGGACAAGGTTATGACTCGTACCCCAAAGCCCGCCAAGTAGTCAATTATTTTGAAGCGCGGGGGGATACATTACGCGATAACGTCAAAAAAAAAAAAAAGATTATCAAAAAGTTGGAGGACGAGTTAAAGCTACACAAAGAAGACCTAGCTCAATTAGAGGCTTCTTTAGAGTCAGTGGAAGAAAACGAAAAGGTCGTCAAGAGGAAATATAGTGATTATAAAGACGCAGAATTTAACCAAATGGACTGCTATTTGAAAAAAAAACAGATTGCAAAAAGAATTGATAGAAATGGCCGTGGATGAACATGCCTCAAACCCGGGCGGGTCGCCCCCGACGACCTCGACCGGAGTATGGGAAAAGTACGTATTCATAAAATGAATTAATTCTAGGGCTATATTTTAGTTTTTTTTTTGTAACATTAAGACTGCGATCCAAATTTTTGGACGTTTTCTTTTAATGAAGTTTTTGGACGGTTTTTGGTGGGTTAAATGCTTTATTTTATGAAAATTTGATTAATTATTATAATTAATTTGATGAAATCCATGTTGAATTTCGATGTTAAAAATACCATTTATTTTTGGGCTTTTATTTTTCATTGTGATACTTTTCAAATTTGTAAGAGGCAAAAAGGGTTAAACAATAGAATAAAAACTCATTCGATTGCAGACTTGTAGTGTAGTGTAGTGCAGACATGCTGTTTTCCTAACCGCCTAATGAATGCCCCCAATATTCTAGCTAAACAAGCGCATACAGAAGACGAAGAAGAAGGAGAAGAAGGGCAGAGCAGAGCAGAGAAGGAAAATCGAAGGGAACAATAACAATTAATCGAAAATCGAATGCGAATGCAAGTGCAGTTAGAAAGTTAGAGGCTGTTCTAACTGTTAACTGTAAATACCCGCTAACTTTGCGATGGCCCCGCGAAAATTGTTCAATTGAATTGGCCGTGTGTGAAAAACAAAAGCCGTACGGCTGCTCCTCCTTCTGCTTTCTGCTTTTACCACCCACCTACTGCGCCTACTGCCAGACTGCCCAACAAACCCAGCAGAGATGGAGGAATCCTCATCCTCGCCCGCTGTTGCGTCACGTGGCCGCGGACGCGGAAGGCCGCCGAAACAAGTCGCTCCCAGTCAGCCCGAGCCGCCCACTGCCACTGCCACGCCCCCGCCCCCGGATGCTGGCGAGGATCAGTGCCGTCGCAGTTCGCGCAAGAAGATCATCAAGTTCGATGTGCGGGATTTGCTCAACAAGAACCGAAAGGCGCACAAAATTCAGATCGAAGCCCGCATCGACTCGAATCCCGGATGCAGCTCCTCCTCCTCCGCCTCCGCGAGCCGTCTGTTCTCCATGTTCGATAGTAACCAGCAGGCAACCAGCAAGCTACCGCCACCTCCCACTCCTCCTCCTCCCATCGCCTTGGAGATCTTCGCCAAGCCGCGGGCCACCCAAAGTCTGATTGTGGCCCAGGTGAGCAGCAGCGAACCCAGCGCCCGGAAGCGGGGACGTCCCAGGAAGAGCCAGCCCACCGTCGTATCATCCGATTCGGACACCAATTCCACGGGCACGGGCACGAGCTCCACGAGCACCAGTGGCCAGGATGGCCAGGATGGCCAGGAGGAGGTCAACCGGAAGCCCAAGTCCAAGCTGCGCGTCTCGCTGAAGCGCCTGAATCTCTCCCGCCGCCAGGAGTCGTCCGATTCCGGCTCTGGATCGGGATCGGGTTCCACCTTCTCCTCGCCGGAGGTGGAAGTGGAGGTGGAGGTGGAGCCGCCGGCACTGCAGGATGACAACGCTATGGACGAGCAGCCGGAGCCGGAGCAGCAGCAGGAGCAGCAGATGGTGATGAACGAGGAGGAGGGTAACTCCGATTCCGATTCGCAGATCATATTCATTGAAATCGAAACGGAGAGTCCCAAAAGGCAGGAGGAGCAGGAGGAGCAGGAACCGAATCTCGACGAGATCATGGTGGAGGTGCTCAGTGGGCCGCCCAGCCTGTGGTCGGAGGAGGATCAGGAGGAGGAGGAACCCACCGCATCCTCGCCAGCTCCACGGCGCAGCAGGCGATCGGCACAGCCGCGCGGCGGCGGCGGCGGCGGGAGCAGCAGCAGCCAGCAGGGCAAGACGCTCGAGGAGACGTTCGCCGAGATAGCCGCCGAGAGCAGCAAGCAGATCCTGGCAGCGGAGGAGGAGGTGGTTGAGGAGGAGGAGGAGTCCCATGTGCTCATCGATCTCATCGAGGACAGTCTCAGTCAGCCGGCGAATGTCGAGGAGAAGCAGAATCAGGAGTTTGTCATTGAATTTGTTGAGGAAACGGAAAAGGAAACGGAAAAGGAAACGGAGACCCAGCCAGTGGTTTCCGAATCGGAATCGCCTGTTCCAGCGAAAGAACTGCCCAACCAGGAGGCACCAAAGCCAGAAGCAGCCGAAGAGATCCCTGAGAAACTGGAACCACCTACGGAACCAAAAGATTCGATAGAAAGTGCGGAGGAGCCGCAGCCCAATGATGAAGCGAATTCTAATTCGAATTCGATTTCAATGGCAGCTGATCCAAAGTCGACGAGTAAACGAATTCCGATGAACGACGATATCGACACCAAGTTGGCCACGATGCAAGTGTCAGAATCTGACACCCCAGAAGAAAAACCAGCACTGTCAGCCAGGGAAAAGCCTCCAGATGAAGCGGAAGGCTTAAAATCCCCGCCAGAAACTGAAACAGAACAGCAGGAGCAGAAGAAAGCTGAGACAGCTGAGCCAGAGAAAGAAGTTAAATCCTCACCAGCAGCTGAGGAAAGGGAATCTAAGCCACTGGAGAAATCCTCCTCCCCTCCAGAGGCGATCATTCTGAAGCAAAAAGACGAGCCAGAAGCAATAGAAGCCACCAATTCTTCATTAGCGATGGAGGAGCTCGATAAAGAAACTGCCAAAAGTCCAACAGAAGCCGACACAATCAAGAAGCCCGTAACCGATCATTCCTCCTGCAAGCCGACTAAGGAGACGGCCAAGGAGAAGGGATTCTCGCCCGGCTTCGTTGAGTGCGATGCCATGTTCAAGGCCATGGACAAGGCGAATGCCCAGCTGCGTCTCGAGGAGAAGAGCAAGAAGAGGCAGAAGAAAGTGCCCGCTCTTGGCCAAAAGAAGCCGCTGGGAGGCAGAGGAGGAGGCAAGACCACCACATCACCACCTCATTCGCCCAAGCTGGAGAGGAACAGCTCGCCGAGCTCCGATTCCAACCAAGTGAGCAAGCTGATGAAGCGTTCGAAGGCCAAAAAGAAGCTCAATCCGCGACGCAGCACCATTTGTGAGGAGGCCAAGGAGAGGCTGGCCGCCAGTTCGCCCGTTTCCTCCTCGAATTCATCGGATTCCTCCGCGAAGCGAAGGAATCTTCCCGAGCAGCCAGCAGCCAAGTTGGATCTGCGCCGCAACACCATCTGCGAGGATCACCGGAGCACTCCGGTGCCGCTGACCAAGCGCCGCTTCTCCATGCATCCCAAGGCCTCCGCGAATCCCCTGCACGACACCCTCCTGCGATCGGCGACTTCATCTGCATCTGCAGCTGCATCTGCCGCCGGCAAGAAGCGTGGTCGAAAGCTGGGTTCGAGTCGCCAGAACTCGCTGGACTCCAGTTGCAGTGCCTCGAAGAAGGATGCCCTCTTGGAAACGGAGTCCTCCGAGTCCACAGCCGAGCTGGAGGCAACCAATCCGCTCAGCGACATAGCCAAGTTTATCGAAGACGGCGTTAATCTTCTCAAGCGCGACTACAAAGTGGAGGAGGAGGAGGAGGAGCAGCAGCAGCAGGAGGACGAGTTTGCGCAACGAGTGGCCAATATGGAGACGCCGGCCACCACACCCTCGCCCTCGCCCACGCAATCCAATCCAGAGGATCCCGGCAATCCCGGCAAGCTGCTGCTTCAGGAAAATAATAGTAGCAGCGGCGGAGTGCGTCGCTCGCATCGCATCAAGCAGAAGCCCCAGGGGCAGCGGGCCAGCCAGGGAAGAGGGGTGGCCAGCGCCGGGCTGGCACCGATCAGCATGGACGAGCAGCTGGCCGAGTTGGCCAGCATCGAGGCGATAAACGAGCAGTTCCTCCGCAGCGAGGGACTCAACACGTTTCAGCCGCTAAGGGAGAACTACTACCGATGCGCCAGGCAGGTGAGTTCGAGTTTGCGATTTTTTCTATAAAAACTGGTTGGATGGATTTAATTCAAACCTTTTGTATGTTATTAAGTGTCATTTAAGTAACATCCACTAATTTTAATAGCGATTGCTGGAACACTATTAATAAACAAAGGCGTTTTGCGGTGTTCACTGTACCTCCGCTAAAAATGATCGGATTTCCATTTTGTTTTTACATTTCGCTTAAGAATTAAAAAAAAAAAACTGCCCCCTGGGAAGCTCGTTTTTTGAATTTTTTATTTTGAGAATTTATTTTGAGATTCCAAAGTCAAAAATGCGTTTTTCACCTAAAAAATGTGACTTTCGGCTTAAGAAAAATATTTAAAGTTAAAAAATTAAAAAAAACCATTCCCAGGGGGCGGGTTTTTTTATGCAGAAAAATATGCGACAAGTTTAAAAACGATCGGTTGAGCCGTTTAGAAATGCCGATGAACAAGGACTTTCGAAACGTGGTTTCGAGAAAAACACACTTAAAGATGCACATATGTACGTAACTAAAGTTTTAGGGGTTAGGGTAGTAATTTTAGCATAACTTCTAAAGTTTTTGTCCGATTGACTTAAAACGTTTTTTGTATATTCTTAAGATGTCAATCTACGAGGAAAAAATTTTAAAAAAATCCCCCCTAAAGGGGTTAGATACATATAGAACTGTAATTTTTTCAAGTTTTTCGTGATTTTTTTTAACCAACAAGGAATTGTGCTGGGATTTCGTAACTTGGCATGTTGATTACATTGTTCTTATATAATTTTAAAAATCTATTTTTTTCATAATTTTCTTTTTGTTTTTGGCTAACAAAAAATACTTAAACGTACAAATTTGTACATTAATTGTATTACAAAAATTTCTGTAAGAGCAGCTTGATGATCGAAACATTACGTTTCGAGATACACGATAAAAAGGCATTTTAAGTAATAAAATATATGTACTGCACAAGGAAGGTGGGTGCCGTCATCTTGCTATAAGTTCCAAAATAGGCCGAATTTCCGCGTGAAACTTTCATGACACATTTTTAAAGAGTTATTCCACCAATTTAAGTAATAAAAAAATGGAATTTTTATTTTTTCTATATGTATCTCCCTCCTTAAATCAAAATAGGTCGAATTTCCGCGTGAAACTTTCATGACACATTTTTTAAGAGTTATTCCACCAATTTAAGTAATAAAAAAAATGGAATTTTTAATTTTCCTATATGTATCGCCCCCCCTTAAATCAAATAGCCATTCATCCCCTTCGATCCTTGCAGGTCAGCCAGGAAAACGCCGAGATGCAGTGCGACTGCTTCCTCACCGGCGACGAGGAGGCCCAGGGCCATCTGAGCTGCGGCGCCGGCTGCATCAATCGCATGCTGATGATCGAGTGCGGCCCGCTGTGCACCAACGGCCAGCGCTGCACGAACAAGCGCTTCCAGCAGCACCAGTGCTGGCCCTGCCGCGTCTTTCGCACCGAGAAGAAGGGCTGCGGCATCACCGCGGAGCTGCAAATGCCGCCCGGCGAGTTCATCATGGAGTACGTCGGCGAGGTGATCGACAGCGAGGAGTTCGAGCGGCGGCAGCACCTCTATTCGAAGGACCGCAAGCGGCACTACTACTTCATGGCGCTGCGCGGCGAGGCGATCATCGATGCCACCTCCAAGGGGAATATATCGCGGTACATCAACCACAGCTGCGATCCGAATGCCGAGACCCAGAAGTGGACGGTCAACGGCGAGCTGCGCATCGGCTTCTTCAGCGTGAAGCCCATTCAGCCGGGCGAGGAGATCACCTTCGACTATCAGTATCAGCGGTACGGACGCGATGCGCAGCGCTGCTACTGCGAGGCGGCCAACTGCAGGGGCTGGATTGGCGGCGAGCCGGACTCCGATGAGGGTGAGCAGCTGGACGTGAGCAGCGACAGCGAGGCGGAGGCGGAGGCCGAGGAGGTGGAGGTGGAGGACCTCGATGCGGATGCGGAGCCCGAGAAGACGTCGAAGGGGAAGACGGGCAGGTCTAGCAAAATCAAGGTGAAGCTGCCGCTCTCGCAGGCTGCCAGTCGCAAGCGGAAGCCCAAGCCCAAGGATCGGGAATACAAGGCCGGCCGCTGGCTGAAGCCGACGAGGGAGAAGGCGACGCGGAAGCCGAAGGTCAGCAAGTTCCATGCCATGCTCGAGGATCCCGATGTGCTCGAGGAGCTGTCGCTGCTCAGCCGCAGCGGTCTGAAGAACCAGCTGGACACGCTGCGCTTCTCGCGCTGCCTGGTCCGCGCCAAGCTGCTACCAACGCGCCTCCAGCTGCTCGGAGTTCTAACGCGCGGCGAGCTGCCCTGCCGCCGGCTCTTCCTCGACTACCACGGCCTGCGGCTGCTGCACGCCTGGATCAGCGAGAGCGGCAGCGATGGCCAGCTGCGAATGGCCCTGCTCGACACCCTCGAGTCGCTGCCCATTCCGAATCGCACCATGCTGAACGACAGCCGCGTCTACCAGAGCGTCCAGCTGTGGAGCAACAGCTTGGCGGAGGCGTCGGAGGCGTCGGAGGAGCAGCACAAACGGATGGTGGCCCTGCTGGAGAAGTGGCAAGCGCTGCCCGAGATCTTTCGCATACCCAAGCGCGAGCGCATCGAGCAGATGAAGGAGCACGAGCGGGAGGCCGACCGCCAGCAGAAGCACGTCCATGCGAGCACCGCTCTGGAGGATCAGCGCGAGCGGATTGGCGAGAGCAGCAGCAACGATCGCTTCCGGCAGGATCGCTTTCGCCGGGACACGAACAGCAGTCGCATGACTGGCAGCAAGCCGACAAGGATGAGCGGCAACAATACGATATGCACGATCACCACGCAGCCGAAGGGCAGCAATGGATCCTCGGACGGCATGGCCAGGAACGATAATCGCCGACGGGCGGAGATGGGTAATCCCGCCGCGGAGCCACGACGCACGCTGTCCAAGGAGCTCAGGCGCAGTCTGTTCGAGCGGAAGGTGAGTGGCGGAAAAAGCGTTATCCATAATTATACCCTTGCAGAGGGTCTGTCCGTTAGTTTGTCCTTCTGTCCGCCAGTTTGTCCGTCTGTCCGTCCGTTTCTACGCAAACTAGTCTCTCAGTTTTGAAGCTATCGGCTTGAAACTTTCCCAAAAGTCTTCTTTTTATTGCAGCTAGTATAAAAATCGGAATCAGCCGGATCGGACAACTATATCTCATAGCTCCCATAGCAATAATCGAAAAAAGAATGATAATGATAATGCTTCGATTTCTTTTTTGAAATATTACCTTCTACTTTTGGGAATATTGTTTTTTTTATATATTTCTGAATTTAGAATTAAATATTTAAAAAATAGGATCACTATATCATATGGCTGCCATAGGAACGGTCGGAAAATTTTTGAAAAAATATTCTACCTTCGCTGTTTTTTGAAATATTACCTTCTACTTTTGGGAATAATGTTTTTTATACATTTCTGAATTTCGGATTAAATTTTAAAAAACTGGACGACTATAGTTCTTCCATAGGAATAATCGGAAAAATAATGGACAAAATATTCTAGCTTCGGTATTCTTTTTGAAATATTACCTTCTACTTTTGGGAATAATGTTTTTTTTATATATTTCTGAATTTAGAATTAAATATTTAAAAAATCGGATCAATATATCATATAGCTGTCATAGGAACTCTCGGAAAAATTATGGAAAAAAAATTCTAGCTTCGGTGTTTTTTGAAATATTACCTTCTACTTTTGGGAATAATGTTTTTTGTATATTTCTGAAGTTCGGATTAAATTAAATAATAAATCGGACAACTATATCACATAGCTCCCATAAGAATAATCGAAAAAATGAAAAAAATAATTCTAAAATATTACCTTCTACTTTTGGGAATAATGTTTTTTATACACTTCTGAATGTCTGATTACATTTTAAATCGGACAACTATAGTCCTTCCATAGAAATAATAGGAAAAATAATGGACCAAAAAATTCTAGCTTCGGTGTTTTTTTAAATATTACCTTCTACTTTTAGGAATAATGTTTATAATACGTTTCTGAATTTCGGATTAAATTTAATAAATTTATAGGAACGATCTGAAAATTAATGGGAAAATCATAGGAAATAAATTGTAGCTACTTTAGTTTTTATTGTGTTCTCTTCTACTCTAGGATGTCACTTTATTTTAATATTTCCGAATTTCGAAATAAATTGAACAAAAATCGGACGATTTTATTATATAGCTGCCATAGCAAGGTTAGAAAAAATAATGTCAAATAATACGAAATTTAACACTTTAGCGATTTGAAAATATAAAATGGGAAAGATCTGCAAGGGTATATAAGCTTCTTGATTATTTCTCATTTCTAACATCTACCACATTCCATCCAGGTTGCCCTCGATGAGGCCGAGAAACGGGTTTGCAGCGAGGACTGGCGGGAGCACGAGCTGCGCTGCGAGATCTTTGGCGCCGATCTCAACACGGATCCCAAGCAGCTGCCCTTCTATCAGAACGCGGACACGGGCGAATGGTTCAACAGCGAGGACATGCCAGTGCCAGCGCCGCAGCGCACAGAGCTCCTCTCGCAGGCGCTGCTCTCGCCCGAAACGCCGGACAACGGCGGCAGCGGACAGGCAGCTCCGCCGGCCGTCGAGTACAAGCTGCCGGCCGGCGTGGATCCCCTGCCGCCCGCCTGGCACTGGCGGATGACCAGCGACGGCGACATCTACTACTACAATCTGCGCGAACGCATCTCGCAATGGGAGCCGCCCAGTCCCGAGCAGCGCCTCCAGACTTTGGTCGAGGAGGATGCGACGCAGCAGCAGCAGCAGCCGCTTCACGAGCTCCAGATCGATCCCGCGCTCCTGGCCACCGAGCTCATCCAGGTGGACCTCGATTACGTGGGCTCGCTCAGCTCCAAGTCCCTGGCCCAGTTTGTCGAGGCCAAGGTGCGGGAGCGGCGCGAGCTGCGACGCAGTCGCTTGGTCTCCGTCCGTGTGATTAGTCCGCGACGAGACGAGGATCGCCTGTACAATCAGCTGGAGTCGCGAAAGTACAAGGAGAACAAGGAGAAGATCCGCCGTCGCAAGGAGTTCTTCCGTCGCCGCAAGATCGACGCTGCTTCTGCTCAGCCGAATTCCTCGACGAATCCAGACGATGCTGCCGCCGATAGCAGCAATTCACTGCCCATTCAGGCCTACCTGTACTCATCCGACGAGGATGCTCCCGCGGATGCTGCTCCAGCTGGAGCTGCGGAGCCGCCCCTCGCCGATGGGCAGACTGCGGCCCAGGCGGAGGAGCTGGATTCACTTAACTTGGCGCCGAGCACCAGTCATGCGGCTCTGGCCGCTCTCGGCAAGACCACAGTCGTCGGCAGTCAGGCGGCGGCACAATCAGCCGGAGCAAGTGGCAAGCGCAAGCTGCCAATGCCACCGAATGCGGCGGCGGCGGTGAAGAAGCATCGCCAGGAGCACCGCAGCAAGAAGAGCAAAAGGTGGGTCTTGGGTCGCTTTGAGTTTATATTCCTAATCAGCACCGCTAGACTAGTGCGTCTAGCCGTGTCCGTAAGTCTGTCCGTCAGTTTGTCCGTAAGTCTGTCCGTCAGTCTGTCCGCATGTTTGTCCGTCAGTTTGTTCGTCAGTCTGTCCCTTTCTACTCAAACTAGTCGCTCAGTTTAAAAGCTATCGGAATAAAACTTTCCAAAAAGTCATTTCTGAATTTCGATTTTAATTCTATCAAATTCGTAAAATTAATGGAAACTTAATGGGAAAAAATTATATTAATTTTATTGTTGATTTTATTGAATTCTCTTCTTCTATGGGATATAGATTTTCTTTAATATTTCAAGATTTCGAATTAAATTTATCAAAACTCGGTTGACTATATTATATAGCTATTTATATAGGAAGGATTTTCCTAATCAGCATCACTAGACGAGTCCATCTAACCATGTCCGTAAGTCTGTCCGTTTGTCCGTTTCTACGCAAACTAGTCTCTCAGTTTTAAAGCTATCGAAATGAAACTTTCCCAAAAGTCTTCTATCTTTTGCTGATAGTATATAAGTTTCGTTCTCAGACGGATCGGACAACTATATCATTTAGCTCCCATAGGAATCTTCAGTGGTTTTAACAATTCTAAATTCAATTTTAATTTGATCAAATTCGTAAAATTAATGGTGACTTTTATTTGATTTTATTGTATTTTCTTTTTCAAGGGGATATAGATTTTCTATAATATTTCAAGACTTGGAATTATGTATTTAGGAAGGATCTAAAAATCTAAAAATGTAATGTCATGTTTTTGCAATTTAATAGGAATGATCTGCAAGGATATATATAAAATTCGGCTGTGCCGAAGTTAGATTCCTTTCTTGTAATTTATTTTAAATATTTCATATTCTAGCTCGCACAGCCTTTTGACGACCACCAGCGGACGCGAGGCCCACGAGAAGTTCCGCTTCGAAATAAGCGGGCATGTCGCCGACTTTCTGCGACCCTATCGCAAGGACAGCTGCCAACTGGGTCGGATCACCAGCGACGAGGACTACAAGTTCTTAATTAAGAGGGTCAGTTGTGAAGTTCTACAAATTCCCTTCCGTTTCCTTATTTTTGCGTACCTCCTGCAGCTCAGCCATCATATTACCACCAAGGAAGTGCGCTATTGCGACGTCACCGGCAATCCCTTGTCCTGCACGGAGTCGGTCAAGCACAAGTCCTACGACTTCATCAACCAGTACATGCGAAAGAAGGGCCGCGTCTATCGGAAACCAGCGGAAAGCACTATATTCTAGCACACCCAATTCAACGGCGGGAGGACATGTCCTTCTTTTTCTTCTTCACTTAATACCCAACCAAATTGCGCATGAACTAAGAACTAAAAACGTATAATAACTATAACTATAACTAGAATTTTATTTTAAGTGCAAACCTTAGATAAGAACAAACCCCTTAGTATGCGATCTACCCTCGAAGCGGGTAGCGTCTTAAGTGAAAACCACTAGAACATTATGAATCTTAAAGAGAGAGTTAGAGAATTATTAAATACACGGAAAATAAATGGAAAATCACACATACATTTATAATTTTATAATATCTGGGACTTGGAATTTCGTATAAGTGTAAAACAATTTTAGGGAATTGTGGTTTTCTATGATTTTTTCAAGCTAACAACAAATATAATAAATATGCCATAATAGAATTGGTAAAATTACAAACAACAAAAAGTGTATTATTTTTTAGAAATTATAGGTTACAATCTCTTCATCTAGCTCGCTGAAAACTTTTTGACATGGAAAGAAAAGAGACGGCTACATGTGTGTACCGTAAGTGCAAGCGAGATAAAAAACCGTACATTCAATAGAAGTGGAAACAAATTAAAATTACTATAAATCTCTGTTTGGGAATATAATCCCATTTTTACAGCCACTCGGTAATTAATGTGTCCCTTGCAGAGAGCATTATAATTTAAGGCAAACATAAACTACACCTACAACATAAATTTGAAAACAAATTATACTTGTCAGATTCTATGAGATAATGAGAAAAAAATTCTATATTTCTATATTTTTCGGTTTTTCCAAAAAATTAAATTGTTACAATTGGATTCCGAAAATTATAAAATATTTGGAGGTCGTCACTTTTTGTAAATTTCAGGGACCGTAACTGTTATGAAGTTCATGTTAAAAATCACATTTTAACAGTTATTTTCGGATTCGTAAAGTAAAACTCAAAGAATAACTGTGATTTTTTGAGTTTTATAATAAAAGTTGACAAATAACAGTTATTCGTCGTGATAAAAAATAAAACTCAGACTTGATTTATGGCGATTTTCTGGGTAAAACAAATTTAAAAAAATATAGTTTTACAATATTTACGGTTGGCATTTTTTAAAGATTTTTAGTAAGTCATTTTATTTTTAATTATTTAATTTTTTCAAATGTCAAGGGAATAACTGTTACATAATACATAATACATACAAATCAACAAATAACAGTTATTTTTTGAGTTTTATTATAAAAATCAAAAAATAAAAGTCATTACGGATTTGTAAACTACAATGGCTAACAAAAATAATGATGTATTTAAAAAAATTTTATGACTCCTTCTATTGCATGATTTTTTTTGGTAAGAAAAATTGCATGATTTTTTTGGCAAGAAAAATGTACAATAACAGTTATTTTCGGTCCCTGGTAAATTTAGCCCCTTTTTGTTATAGCAAGCATTTAGTTGGCTGCTTATACATATATTTAATATTTATTAACTCGGCTCTAGGGGCACAAGATGAGGGGAACACAGCTGCCACGTTCGTCGCGGGCGTAACCCCTTGCACAATGGCAGCCCGTTGGGTTTTTCCAGCACCGCTGACTAAACTCCTGGCAGAAGGACTCGCACCGACAGATCGGATTGCTCAGACGGCACTCGTAGGCTCCACATCTTCCGGAACCGTCCAGTGCTCCCAGCATAGCTGGCACCATAGTTAGCAGAAGGATCAGAACTGCCGAATCTCGATTTAGTTTCGGCACAATGCCGGCCTTCTGCCTAAAGTGTCTAGCTATTTATAACCACAAAGCAACAGATTTCAGGTGTTTAAATAAAAACTCATTTTCAAGGTACTTAAGATTTTTGAAGTGTTTGGGTGACAAAAAGTTTTGTATATTTTGAATGGATAATTTTATATTCGGCTTAGTCAAAAAATTTAAAAGAAATATTAATTATAAATATATCAAAGGATAAGCTTCATGCTTAATTGTATGTTTATAATAATTTCAAATTTCTATCTAGATTTAATCAATAAACATATTATGCATTTAACCAGCGTGTAAATTTATTTAAAATTTTTAAAAGGTCAGTGTGTAACGGTGCAATTTTTGAACGGAAAAGCCACCAAGGATGTTGATAGTGGGAATGGGCTATAAGAGAATACCCGAAGTATATTTTTGGTATTTTTGAGTATATTTATAGGTATTTTTTCCCAGTCGGCTGGTATATTTGTGCGCCTTTGCCGCGGTCACACTAAAACTTGAAATAGCTTCGCTTGGTTTTTATTTTTGATTAATTTTTTGTAATATTATCCTAAAAGCAGCAAAGATCTGATGGACAAACTAAGCGCAGTGCGCATTGCGGTCCGCGAGGCGCCGTACCGCCAGTTTCTGGGGCGTCGGGAGCCGAGCGTCGTCGAGTTTCCGCCATGGAGCGATGGAAAGGTACGGTATCGGTGCTCCAAGAACTAAGAAAAACTAAGGAAACCCAACTGACGGCCATTGTAACTTTCAGTCGCTTGTGGTCGACCAGAACGAGTTCCACTTCGACCACGCCTTCCCGTCGACCGCCGCCCAGGATGAGATGTACGCGGCCCTCATCCTGCCGCTGGTCGAGAAGGTCTTCCAGGGGTTCCAGTGCACGGCCCTGGCCTACGGACAGACTGGAACGGGCAAGAGCTACTCCATGGGAATGGCGCCGCCCGATAAGGTGGGTTAACGGTCCTTCGCAGTCCCTTAAAATATCTTTCGGTTATTATAACCCCAATCATAGTTCATCGCTATTTTTGTACTGTTGTTTTGGTATATCCCTTGTCATACGTAGAATACATCTTTATTTTATTTATATCTTTATAATGATAAAAAAGATTACAACGATTACTCTATAGCTCCCATTGGAATGATCTTATATTTATTTGAAAAACAAATTCTAACTTCGTTATTTTTACGTAGAAAAGATCTATATCTTATAGCTCCCATAGGAACAATAGGGTGAAATCGGTCAAAATTTGATGTCTTTCAGGATATTTCGGGCAATATATAAGCTATTGATCTGAATCCTTTCAAAGCCTTGATAAGGGTAAAATGATGTCTATATCCTATAGCTCCCATAGGACCCACAGGGTGAAAAATAAATATTTTTTTTTCAATTATAAAATATTTTAGTCAAATTTTCATTCGTGAAATCTGCAAGGGTATCAAAACTTCGGCTTTATAGAGATAAAAAATAAGATTGCAAAACAGACCTTGCCGACCACACAAAACATATATATTCTTGATCAGTAGTATATAACGGAGCAGTACGATTGATTGTATATTTAATTGAAAATCAAATTCCAACTTTGTTGTTTTTGGACTTATTTGCTTCTACTTTGGGATACATAATTATTTAAATTTTTTAGAATTTCGCATTGATTTAGAAAAAAATCTAAAGACGATATCGTATAGGTGGTATAGTTGCCATTGGAACGATCCGAGTTTTTTCTTATTTTTAATTGTTTAAATATAATAATTCTATATAAAACGCCGTAGTTTATTTCGAACTACATACGCTAGAAAACTCCCTTCTTTAAAACGAAATGGATATATTGTTAATCCCCTACAGATCCAAAAGCCCGAGCATCTTGGTGTGCTGCCCCGCTGTCTGGCCGACATTTTGGAACGCGTGACCACCAGACAGGAGAACGAGAAGGAGCCCACCCAGGTGTACGCCTCCTTCGTCGAGATCTACAACGAGAAGGCCTACGATCTCCTGGGCTCCTCACCGCACACGCCCTTGCTGGCGGCCCGTTGCCAGCGATGCACCTGCCTCCCTTTGGCCAGCCAAAGCGATCTGCAGGACCTGCTGCAATTGGGCACCGGGAATCGTCACGTGCGCTCCACCAAGATGAACTCCAACAGCTCCAGGTCGCATGCCATCGTGACCATACATGTGAAGAGCAAGGCCAGGCATTCGAGGCTGAATATCGTGGATCTGGCTGGATCGGAGGGCGTGCGGCGGACCGGGCACGAGGGCGTGGCCAAGCAGGAGGGAGTCAACATCAATCTGGGCCTCCTCAGCATCAACAAGGTGGTGATGTCCATGGCGGCAGGCCGCACCTTGATTCCCTACCGCGACAGCGTTCTCACCACAGTCCTGCAAGGTCAGTTCCTGTGTTTTTTCCATAGATCAGCTGCTTAGTTTAGCTTATTCCCCACAGAATCGCTCACCGCTCAATCGTATCTGACCTTCCTGGCCTGCATCAGTCCGCATCGATGCGATCTTAGCGAGACTTTGGCCACTTTGCGCTTCGGCACCAGCGCCAAGAAGCTCCGGCTGAATCCGCTGCAAGTGGCGCGCCAGAAGGTGAGGTTCCCCCTTCGCTGCGATTCATCTGAAAGCAGTCACTCAAGTTTAGCTATCTGATTTCAGCAATCGCTGGCCGCACGGACGCCTCACGTCTTCCGCAAAGTGCTGAGCAGTTCGACGGCCATCAAGCGGCCAAATGCCGCTGATCAGAACAGCCTGTGGGTTGCCAATGCGAAGTCCTGCGTGGCTACTCCCCTATCCAATGTCCTCCAGCGAACTCGCTCCGAATTGGGCCTGACTCCCAAAGCGAAGGCAAGGTGAGTGACTTGATTATTATGTATTATGATTTCAGTCAGAAGTTTGCAACGCAGTGAAGGAGACGTTTCCGACCCCATTAAGTATATATATTCTTGATCAGCATCACTAGACGAGTCGATCTAGCCATGTCCGTCTGTCTGTCCGTTTCTACGCAAACTAGTCTCTCTAAAAAAATTCTAGCTTCGGTGTTTTTTCAAATATTACATTCTACTCTTGGGAATATTATATTTTATATATTTCTGAATTTCGAATTAAATATGTAATAAATCGGATCACTATATCATATAGCTGCTTTAGGAACGGTCGAAAAATTAAATGGAAATTAATAGGAAAAAAATTATATCTTTGTTGATTTTTATTACATTCTCTTCTAGTCTGGGATATGACTATTTTTAAATATTTCCGAATTTTGATTTTAATTTTAAAAAGATCGAACTACTATATCATATAGCTGCCATAGAAACGATCGAAAAATTAATGTGAAATAATAGGAAATTTAACATTTTTGCAATTTGTAAATTAATAGGAATGATCTGCAAGGGTATATAAGCTTCGGCTTGCCGAATCTAGCTTCCTTTCTTGTTACTGATATTATTTGTTTCAGGGCCCGCCAACTTTTGCAGCTGGAGGAGACGACGCTGGAGCCCTCGTCCATCCACATCTCGGACAGCAGCCTCAGTCTGGTCGGCTACCAAGCTGAAAGCGGCAGGGACAAGCAACTGATGCCGCCACCTGGCCCCGCAGTGGGACAACCCAGCAGCCTACACTCCACTGCAGTCAGCATTGCAGAAGTGGATGAGCTGGAGGAGCAGCCGCCAGTTATCCAGTCCGCCACAGTTCGCAGCCAGCTCTTCAGAACGAATGTCAGTCCGATTGGACCGCGGGCATCCAGCATACTGAAGGAACTCAGCGGTATTCAGCCAATGGAGGAGACTTTGGAGCCAGCTCCTGAGAAACCTTGTATTCTGCGTCGCTCCACGCGTCTATTGAGCAACCAGAGCCTGCAGAGCTACGGAGTCCTCCCCAAGGTGATGAATTTGCGGCGCAGCATGCGGCTGGCAGAGAGACGGGAAAATTCCGTTAACGTCTCGGTTAAAAAGGAGGAGGTCAAGCAGCCCAAAAATGAAAGAAACCGCTCGAGGAACAGAGCTCCTCCTTCAGCGGAAGATTGGATGGCCACCAACGAAAGACGCTTCCTTGAGCTGCTCAACAAGGGCAGCGTTAAGGAGCTGCAAAAAATTCCCGGCATCGGTCCGAAAACAGCCTATACTTTGAGCATATATAGGTGAGTCTTTTGATTGATTGATTGATTGATTTCAGTTCTAACCAAATATGGTCTATTACAATTTTTTAGATCTCGTCTGGAGTGCTTTATAAGTATAGCACAAATAAAATCCCTGCCCATTTGGCCCGGAAAGAGCTGGGATAGGATTAGCCAAGCGAACTGTCTGGAAATTTGATTAGTATTTAAATATTTAACGTTTTATGTTTAGTTTTTCAGTCTTAATTTTTTTTTTGTTTTATGATTTACAAAATCTCCGATTTTAAGTAGGAAACATGAAGGAGCCGGTTATCCGAATACCTATGTACTTGCAATATTTCTTAACATGTTTATTTTTTGTTGTTTTTGACTTTTTATCATTCGATGTAAACTAGATTACTGCTAAATTAAGCTTCTCCATGTAATCAGTAGAAATAATTATAAAATGTGAAACCAGTTGATTTTGACTCTATCATTCGATGTAAACTGGATTACTGCTAAATTAAGCTTCTAAATGTAAACCAGTAAAAATAAATATATAATGTGACATCAGTTATATCAATAATTCAATAAACAGGTCTTAAGATTCCGAATTCGAACAACACTGAACTATTTTTATATTCCCAATGCTGTTCGGATCTTTAAATATATTTTTGTGGATATTCTCAAGCAAACTACGACGTGCATCCAATCCTCGATAGTATAGTGGTTAGTATCCCCGCCTGTCACGCGGGAGACCGGGGTTCAATTCCCCGTCGGGGAGAGTAACAAAATTCTTTTTAAATTTAATTTTTTTTATTTTTAAAAAACATTAGTTTTTTAAAGGTGTTTAAAAATAAATTCGAACTAAATTCAAGTGCGCGTCAAAAAATCAAATGAATATGTAACCACTTATCAAAAAATAATAACAACAATAATATGTAAACTTATAAATATAAATATATTATATCAATTAAGTTGTAAATCTTAAAAATATTTAAAAAAAAATTTTCGGGGAGAATAAGATAATTTTTTTTTAAATTTGATTTTTTTTTTTTAAAACATTAGTTTTTTAAAGGTGTTTAAAAATAAACTCGAACTAAATTCAAATGCGCGTCAAAAAATCAAATGAATATGTAACCACTTATCAAAAAATAATAAAAACAATAATATGTAAACTTATAAATATAAATATATTATATCAATTAAGTTGTAAATCTTAAAAATATCTGTATATCTTAAAAATATTGGTAATTTTCTACGAGTCTTGACTTTCTGGTTTTCATGTAAAACTAAAAATAGGTTTTAAATTCCACAAATCCTTGAGATTCCTGGGTTTTTAGATGTTAACGCCTTGAGATAGGCTATATATTTGGGTATCGATTTGAGCGTTACTTCTGGTTTTCAATTTGCAAATGCCAGCGAAACAAAACGAAGAGAAAAAACTGGGGAAAAAAAAACATAAATTATGAGCGTGAGATAAAACAAAAAGCGCAAATTGAACTGGGCGTAAATTAAAAACAGGAAAAAAAAACAAAAGCCAAGCGGAGAAAAAGAGAAGAATAATGACCGCAAGACCGCGACCACCTGACGCAATTGTCGATGTATGCGTGTCCTGTTGTTCGTGTGTCTGTCGGTGGGCGGCATTGTGTGGGTGTGCGAGGGAGAGGGATGCGGCTTTGTAAACTTGCGACTCGGACACAAAACAAGCGCGAAGAAGAGAGGGATAAGGGGGAGTGTAGAATGGAGAATGGCGAATGGAGACGGAAGTGGAGACCGAGCCTGCGTGCTGAAATCAAAGATAACGACTCATCAACGGCGTCATAAAAACGTGACATCAATTTTATTGCCGCCGGGTGGAGAGAATGTCGACGTCATCGTTCACGCGTAGCCACAAAAAAAAGGTCAAGCAAAAGGCAAAAAAACCAAAAAAAAATCGGATTGAAGAAGATGGATTTCTATCAGTAGCGGATCCAGAATTTGATTTTTGGGGGGATTTTGGAACAAATTTTGTGCTGCATACTTTTTGAAAACCACATTTTCATTAATTTTTCTCCCGAGTGGTGTTTTGTTGCTCAATACATAAGAATATCAATCAATAACAGCAAAAGTTCTTAAATATTTTGCAATTTCAATGTTTTCACTATAAAATCTAAATTTAACATTACAAAATATTATTTATTTATTGAAAGTATATTTTAGTTTATTTTTCCATATTTTACTCAAATTTTCACTAAGAAATATGCATATGTATACCTATACTTAAATACATAAAGCACATTAAAACCTAGCAATTTACGCGATGAAAGGTGGAATATTAAATTTTTCATGTAACCCTTATGTAAATAAATATAAATACATATGTACATAGCATACATACATATATTGCCTTGGGAATTATTTACTAGTGTAAGCTATTAAAGTGAACCGTTTGAACGATATTTCTCTATTTTTGTTTGCACACAGCACAGCAATAAATTCCCATGACTTTCGTTTACTCTATAATTTCCCCTCCCTTTCACTCTTTTTCTGTCTGTTTTGCGGTCATTGCCAGGCTAGAATCTGTACACAGAGAAAAAAAGCATAATCAATAATGTATGATGATTAAAATACTTTTTAAATTAATGTGTAAAAAATAAAATACAAAATATATATGAACTTCAAATTAAAATATTCCTAACATTAAAAAAATTTTTTTTTTATAATTACTAATTATTAGATTAATTGGCTTTAAAGGTTATTACGCATACGCACTGTTGCCTGCGATCAACAAGGTTTTTCTAATCTAGTTGCGTTAGATTTCAACTAAACATTGGTTTTTTGCTCTCCCTGCTTTAACAAACGATTTGGAAGTTAGAAATGGGATTTGTCTAGTTTTTTCGGCTAAATTCTAACTGTCATATGTGTCGTATGAGTAATTTTTAAGGAAACATTAAAATCATTTTTTTGGCTGTGTAGAATTTTTGTAGCTGTTTTTTTGTTTTTTTTTTGTTGCTGACCCAACACACCGGCAGCGACAAATATTTTCACAATAAAATTCCTATTGATGTTTATTCATGCCCGTTCCTTGGGCGCTCTTCCCATCTTTTTTGCGGCGATTTTCGGGGCAGTCGAAGAGGCGCCACCAACACGACAAAGTTGTCGCTGGCGAATCGGATTCGGAATTATTATTGAATGAACTTGTGCCATTTCCGCAGTCCATTTCGCAATAATCAATTATTGAAGCGCCGCCAATAAACAAGAACAGGACGAGAGACCCAAAAACTTCGGCCTCGCCGCTGGCCATTTGCCATTTGCGATTAATTATTGACGGCTCCCCTGGCGCGTATTAAAATTCATTTGATGTCTTTCTTGTCGCCTGGCTGTCCCTCAGAATGTTGGCATCGCGTATATTTCAATCATTCGATCAAGGAACCCAAATTAACAATTTCAAATATACCTACATTTGCATTCGCTTTCTCGCTTCTCTCTCCATATGGAAATATTTAAAAAAAAGGAAAATAAGTTAGGAATTTCATTTTAAATGTGCTTGAAATAAACTATCGACAGTTCGTTTTTTCGACCTTTTCGATATTTAATATGTTGTTTGCGTAAGAAGCATCGATTTTGTGAAAATATCGAAAACATCGATAATTTGCTAGATCTACTGACAACAGCGAATCATACATTTTTTTTAACCCGTTAATTTAAATTTTGTTTACTTTTTAACTAAAATTTGATTAATAGAAACATTTGAAAAAAAGGTATTTTAAAATTAAGGCGTTTACTTACATGGCCAGTGACGATAAAAAGTTGATAAAAATGTTGATATTTTCTAGTTGTTTAAGAGACTGACGGGTATCTAAAAGTCGTATATACCCTTCTAGTTTTTTTCCTTTAATAAGCGAAACAGCGTCATCGGAATCGTGCGTGTGCCTTTGTTATCGCCGGAGTGCCAGAGTTCATCTCCTTTTCCCGCCGGCGCCCACGCAGTTGATTAATCGTCGCTCGAAATCACGTACAGCGACAAATGTCGCAGGTGAAAATACCAAAGTGCTCGCGGAATGGGAATGGGCTTGGATTCGGATTCGGATTTGGATGGGTGCCCTACGCAACGATAAGCCTCGCCTCATCACTGAGCCACCAGTTTGTCCTTTTTCCAGTCAAAGTATAACTTACAAAATATCGATATTTTCGACATTTTTACAATATCGATATTTTTAATGAAAACTTATATTTAATTTCGATAAACAGCAAGCTGTCGATATTCTTTCAAGCTCTATAAATTTTTACTGTCCTTTTTTTAGTGTTTTAAGATTCAGATAAAGTGAAAACAGCCAATCATAACTTATTTTGCAAGTTGGATAAAATAAATACAGAAAATGTAGTATTTTACAATGATTGTAATATTTTTTGAAAATAAAAAATTCAAAAGTTAAAAAAAAACGTACTGACAAGTTGAATTTTTGTTAATTTTAGTTAAATTAGTGCTTAGAAATGGTGGCATTTTCTCTGGATTTTTGTACTCTTGTGAGAGTTCGCGTCAGCACTCGTTTACTCAGATGCCTTGTCGCTGGCTCCCTCCCTTCGAATCCTCCGCATTAACATAAATAAATCACTTGCCGCCATCAATCAGTCTGTTTGCATTTGCGCAGGCAGCCGCAACACCTCGCCCCCAACCGCCCAAATCAACCATTTCTCTTTGTTGTCGTCGCCGCTTTTTGCTTTATGCTTACGCGCATTTTTCTTTGATTTATTGATGTCTCGACTATTAAGCAATTAACTTGAGGCTGTCGTCTTGCTATAACCCCTAATCCCTAGGCTCCAACCCCTCGCCCGGTAGCTCTCCTTGAGTAGCTGTTGCCCAGCAGACTCCGTCTCCCCAAAAAAAAAGTACAGCTCGATATCAAATTAAATTTTTTTTTCGGAAAAAACCTTTATAAAGGTGTTTAAAGTAGAGCTTGAAAAAATATCGACAGTTTTCTATTTCTCAATATTTTATTTAAGGTTTTCCTTCGAAACATCGATATTATTGAAACAATATTGTCAAAATATCGAAATTATCGATAATTTTCAAGTCCTATTTAAAAGTATGCTACGATAAATTTGAAATCCTAATGCATATTGTTTAAGTCACAATTACAGATAGATTTTAAATCAAACAAAAACACCTCTTAACGAGGTAAAAAATTAGTGACGACCGCACCTTCAACATACAAAAGATCTGATATCATATTTTGTGACGAAAAATAATTTTACATTCGAAAATATAAAAACACTTTCTAAAATTTACTTTTTCGGCACGCTACAATAGAAAATGTTCGTGTGGGCAAAATCTTATAAATTTGTCTGAAGCGGGCCGAATGAGTAAATTTTAGAAAGTGTTTTTATATTTTCGAATGTAAAATTATTTTTCGTCACAAAATATGATATCAGATCTTTTGTATGTTGAAGGTGCGGTCGTCACTAATTTTTTACCTCGTTAAGAGGTGTTTTTGTTTGATTACTTAATTACTTAATTATTTAATTCTTTAATTATTTAATTATTTAATTACTTAATTTTTTTAATTATTTAATTATTTAATTATTTAATT